CCTCCTTCTCTTGTTCTTCCTCCTCCTCTTGTTGTTGTTCTTCCTTCTCTCTTGTTCTTCCTCCTCCTCTTGTTCTTCCTCCTCCTCTTGTTCTTCCTCCTCCTTTTGTTCTTCTTGTTCTTCCTCCTCCTCCTCTTGTTCTTTCCTCCTCCTCTTGTTCTTCTTCATCCTCCTCCTCTTGTTCTTCTTCCCTCCCCTCGTGTTCTTCCTCCTCCTCCTCCTCCTCTTGTTCTTCCTCCTTCTCTTGTTGTTCTTCCTCCTCCTTCTCCTCTTGTTCTTCCTCCTCCTCTTGTTGTTGTTCTTCCTTCTCCTCTTGTTCTTCCTCCTCTTGTTCTTCCTCCTCTCTTGTTCCTCCTCCTCTTGTTCTTCCCTCCTCCTTTGTTCTTCTTGTTCTTCCTCCTCCTCTCTTGTTCTTCCTCCTCCTCTTGTTCTTCCTCCTCCTCTTGTTCTTCCTCCTCCTCCTCTTGTTCTTCATCCTCCTCTTGTTCTTCCTCCTCCTCTTGTTCCTCCTCCTCTTGTTCTTCCTCCTCCTTTTGTTCTTCTTGTTCTTCTTCCTCCTCCTCCTCTTGTTCTTCCTCCTCCTCCTCTTGTTTTCTTCCTCCTCCTCCTCTTGTTCTTCCCTCCTCCTCCTCTTGTTCTTCCTCCTCCTCCTTGTTCTTCCTCCCCTCCTCCTCTTGTTCTTCCTCCTCCTCCTCTTGTTCTTCCTCCTCCTCTTGTTCTTCCTCCTCCTCTTGTTCTTCCTCCTCCTCCTCTTGTTCTTCCCTCCTCCTCTTGTTCTTCCTCCTCCTCCTCTTGTTCTTCCTCCTCCTCCTCCTCTTGTTCTTCCTCCTCCTCCTCTTGTTCCTCCTCCTCCTCCCCAACACTTTTTCTGAACCCTTTACAACTCGGCAATCCGCTGTCCACCAAGACATCGATCAACTCTCTCTGCTAACCTGCGTCTGAGTCCTCCACCACTACTCCACCACCTAACACCACTACAACACCACTACTACACCACTACCCTTACACCACTACCCTTACACCACTACCCTAACACCACTACCCTTACACCACTACCCTAACACCACTACTACACCACTACCCTTACACCACTACTTCTACAACACCACTACTACACCACTACTTCTACAACACCACTACTACACCACTACCCTTACACCACTACTTCTACAACACCACTACTGCTACTACACCACCACACTACCCTAATGCTACTACTACTACTACACCAGGTTGATGCTAACCTAACCTACTCTAACCTAACCTAATGCTAACCTTACCTTGGAGTAAACATCTTATTTACAAACACTACACACAATTTTCCCTCAAATTTAAAGAGACAACATAAGGAGACGTAACATTTGTTTACTTACACCACAAATGAGTTTACCCGCACAGTTTAAAGGAACAACAACAACAACAACAAAACATATTTATAGTCTTGTTTACCAACACTATATAGCAAGATTTTCCCGCTAAAATTTAAAAGCCAATGACAATAAATGTTCACCTTAGTCACACACAAGACACAATTAGCATCTCTCTCTCTCTCTCACACACACACACTGACTCACTCATACTCACTCTCCTTACTGAATCTCTCTCTCTCTCTCTCTCTCTCTCTCTCTCTCTCTCAACAACCGTCCAGCAATAGGCTTATACCAACTGTACGGCTTAAGGGAGACCAGCCGAGCTTCTGGCGAAATGAATGGAGGGGGTTGAACGTAATGATGTCATGTGTGATATACTGGAAATGACTTGTATCGCAATTACACCAAGGGGAGGACGGTAATAACACGACCCAGGCCATGTTTGGGGGTAACGCGATACATTACACCATATCATGTTTTTGGGGCGGGAGTTTGTTGTCTGTTGTTGATGCTTCTCAAGTAGATATGGGGGTGACAAAAAGCGCGGGAAAAATTTTTGGGCGGGAGATATTTTGTTATTGTTGTTAGTTGGTGTAAAAGAAGCAGTATATTTTGTTTAATCATCAGGTTAAACTACTACTAATAATAATAATGAATAAACTTAATCACTAAAACAATCTTATAGTCGCAATAGATAAAATTAAATACTTTTAATAATTAAATAACAATAAAACAGCTGATAGTGTTTCGAGTGCAGAATGTAAATAAAGAAAAAGCGCGCGCAGAATGTAAAAGCAAAAAACGTGCGAAGAATGTAAACAAACCCCCAAAAACCGCGCAAAAAATCACCCGAAGAATGAAAATATTCACCACTGTATCGCAAAACTCCCAAAAAAAAACACATTAAAACCCAAATACTTTTCCTCTTCCTTCCTCCTAAACATAAGAGCATCTCGTATTAATTTAACCTCAAGCACGATATAAAGTAAATTATCTCACGCGTGTTAACTACCCGAGTAAGATTCAAAATTAACTCAGATTAAGGAGTGTTTGGGCGGCGGGCTGGGCGGTGTAGAAGGCAATAACAGCGGGTAATTTATTTCGCGTCGACAGCGGGGGATTTACACGTGAAAATAATTGACCCACTAAATCCCTGGGGGGTTTTCGTCCCTTCATTGGCTTGGGGAGAATTTTCATATTATTCCTCAACTTTTCGTCTTGTTTTTATTCACCATCGTCATTGTTAAACGATAAATAGTTGGGAATATCGATAATTTAATACATAATAGAATAATAGACTAATATCCAAATGGCATGAAAGAAAATAATAATTAGATAAAGTCGATAAAGAAGATAATCTAAGATCGTCATTATCACCAGAGTGTCCAGTCCATGTAAATATTATACACCCTGAATCAAGTCACGGAATTCAACAGCCTAAAGGAGCCTAACTTACCCTCCCTGCCTCCCTTAACTCAGCAGGGAACCCGCAAATAACAACACTGATTACTCTTGTACTCTGTTCTTATTGGCTAATTTTGTCACCCTCTGATACCTCCCCTCCCCCACGTTATATATGACGTCATGACAGATCGTGTTAAGTTAGGTTATAAGCGACTGAGAGAGGCATTATACATGGGAGGGTGTGTGTGTGTGTGTGTGTGTGTGTGTGTGCGTGTTATAGTCTTATTGTTCAACCTTATGTTTACTTGTGGTGTGTGAGTGTTTGTATAGGAGTGTGTGATTGTATATGTCATCACACACACACACACACACACCCACGAGCTCTTGATGATAATAATAATAATAACAATAATAACAATAATAACAATAATAACAATAATAATAACAATAATAATAACAATAATAATAACAATAATAATAATAATAATAATAATAACAATAATAATAACAATAATAATAATAATAATAATAATAATAATAACAATATATAATAATAATAATATCAATAATATATAATATCAACAACAACAACAATAATAATAATAATAATAAAAATAATGTCAATAATAATAACAACAACAACAACAACAATAATAATAATAATAATAATAATATCAATAATAATATCAATACTAATAACAACAACAACAATAATAATAATAATAATAATAATAATATAATAATAATAATATAAATAATAATATAATATAATATAATATAATAATAATAATAATAATAATAATAATAATAATAATAATAATAATAATAATACTATAATAATAATAATAAACTCAAAACATTTGGTAAGATATTTTAGCTCTATCGACACATTAGAAGGGATGGGCGGCGGCGGCGGGGCGGGATGGGCGGCGACGGCGGCGGCGGCGCATGATAGGCAACGAAGCGAGATAAGCGGCGGGGTTGTGATGGGCGGCGTGAGGAAGGGCGTGATGGGCGGCAAGAGACGGGGAAGCATTTAAATAGCCTCCTTTAGTGGAGCCGAGAAGCCAATGTCTTATGGCTACTGATAAACACTGACTCATGCTTCTTGATCGTTACCTGTTTTGTCTTATGGTTAGGTTAGGGATAGGTTAGGTTAGGTTAGGTTAAGGTTAGGATAGGGATAGGTCAGGTTAGGTTAAGGTTAGGATAGGGATAGGTCGTTAGGGATAGGTCAGGTTAGGGACAGGTTAGGTTAAGGTTAGGATAGGGATAGGTCAGGTTAGGTTAAGGTTAGGGATAAGTTAGGTTAAGGTTAGGATAGGGATAGGTCAGGTTAGGTTAAGGTTAGGGATAGGTTAGGTTAAGGTTAAGTTAAGTTATGCTAAGGTTAGGTTAAGTTAATTATTCCCACTTCACTCCCATCATACCAGCAACACTAACACACCCTAAACACACCTCCAACACACCCCAACACCCTCAACATCCCCAACACACCTCAAAACACCCTAACACACCTAAACACACCTCAAACACACCCCAACACCCTCAAACTCCCCAACACACCTCCAACACACCCTAAACACACCTCCAACACACCCTAACACACCCCAACACGTCCCAACACCCCCAAGACACCCTAACACACCCCAACACGTCTCAACACTCCCAAGACACCCTACACACCCCCAACACACCCTAACACCCCAACACACTAACACACCCCCAAGACACCCTAACACACCCCAACACCCTCCACCCCAACACACTAACACACCCTCAACACACACCCCAACACGTCCCAACACACCCCAACCGTCCCAACACCCTAACACACCCCAACACACAAATAACACCCCAAGACACCCTAACACACCCCAACACGTCTCAACACACCCCAACACACCCCCAACACCTAACACACCCCAACACGTCCCAACACCCCAAGACACCCGAACACACCCCAACACCCCAAGACACCCTAACACACCCCAACACGTCTCAACACACCCCCAACACACCCTCAACACACCTAACACCCCCAACACACCTAACACACCCTAACACCCTCAACACACCCCAACACACCCTAACACACCCCCAACACACCCTAACACCCTGATCTGACCCCCCTCATCATTCCAGGTCTGGTTCAAAATCGTCGAGCAAAATGGAAGAAAAGAAAGAAACAGCTCAGTCTTTCGATCAGCCAGTTCCTCCTTCCCTCCCTCCTCCCTTCCCTCCAATGGGTGGGGACTCCTTCTGTGGGTCAATGTTCCCTTCGTCAGACACCCGTTGGCCTATGGGGGTATGACGCCCATCAACAACGGGTACCTACGGATCAATAGGTATGTTTATTTTACCTTGATTTAATAACCTGGTGGATGGTGATGCTTACCTGTGTGGTGTAGTGTAGTGTGGTGTGGTGTGGTGTAGTGGTGTGGTGTGGTGTAGTGTGGTGTGGTGTATCTTTATTAATAACCTGGTGTATGGTGATGCTTACCTGTGTGGTGTAGTGTAGTGTAGGGTAGTAGTAGTAGTAGTATTCACTTATAAAATCTAGAATCACTCCATATAAAGCTACATTATCACTTACAAAGTTTATAGTTACTTTTACAGATTCTTGAGTCACTTACAAACGTTACAAGTTACTTTTACAGATTCTTGTGTGACTTACAAAGTTTACAAGTTACTTTTACAGATTCTTGTGTGACTTACAAATGTTACAAGTTACTTTTACAGATTCTTGCGTGACTTACAAATGTTACAAGTTACTTTTACAGATTCTTGTGTGACTTACAAACGTTACAAGTTACTTTTACAGATTCTTGTGTGACTTACAAATGTTACAGGTTACTTTTACAGATTCTTGTGTGACTTATATCTACATGTCCTTACAGGCGTGGGCACAGGAACGCTTGGCCTCACATCACCACTACAACGACAAGGCCTGGGGCAGCTGGGCCAAGGAGGCATGAGCATCTCCCAGTCATTCAGCCAATCTCTGGGCCAAGGATTCGGTCAGGGATTTGGCCAGGGTCTAGGCCAGGGATTGGGCCTTGGACAGGGACAAGGATTAGGTTTAGGTCAAGGACAAGGATTAGGGCAAGGTCTAGGGCAAGGATTAGGTCAAGGGTTAGGGCAAGGATTAGGAGGATCAACTTCTCCTCTGCCGTCTGGATTGTCGAATATGGGAGGCTCACCCCCCACCTCCATGTACCAGCCTCACTACCAAGCGTTCAGCTCACTCAACACGGCGCTGGGTGAATACGCAGGTGAGTGCTAACCCCCCCCCCCTCACCAACACTCACTCCAACACCCTCACAGTCACTCCAACACCCTCACAGTCACTCCAACACCCTCACACTCACTCCAACACTCTCACAGTCACTCCAACACCCTCACAGTCACTCCAACACCCTCACACTCACTCCAACACTCTCACAGTCACTCCAACACCCCAACACCACCAACACTTCACAGTCACTCCACACCCCCTCACAGTCACTCCAACACCCTCAACACCACCCAACACCCTCACAGTCACCTGCAACACTCCCACACTCACTCCAACACTCCACAGTCACTCCCCAACACCCTCACAGTCACTCCAACACCCCCACAGTCACTCCAACACTCACACCACTCCAACACCCCCAACACTCACTCCAACACCCCCACATACAGTCACTCCAACACTTACACTCACCCAACACTCTCACAGTCACTCCAACACCCTCAACACTCACCCAACACCCCTCACAGTCACTCCAACACTCTCACACTCACTCCAACACCCTCACAGTCACTCCAACACTCTCACACTCACTCCAACACTCTCACAGTCACTCCAACACCCTCACAGTCACTCCAACACTCCCACACTCACTCCAACACCCTCACACTTAATACAAAGCTTAAACATCCAATACAAAGCATAAATAATTCAATAGAAAGCTTAAATACCTAATACAAAGCTTAAAGCATCCAACACAAAGCTTAAACATCCAACACAAAGCTTAAACATCCAATAAAAAGCTTAAACATCCAACACAAAGTTTAAAACATCCAATACAATCTTAAACCATCCAAGAAAAAGCTTAAACATCCAACACAAAGCTTAAACATCCAATAAAAAGCTTAACATCCAACACAAAGCTTAAAACATCCAATAAAATCTTAAACCATCCAATAAAAAGCATAAAACATCCCTTAAAGCTTAAACTATCCTATAAAAGCTTAAGACATCTTTCCTCTCCTCGTGTAAGAAAATAAATTAAATAAAAGGTCATTTAAATGTTATTGTAGTAATTTATCAATATTTTTGTGAGTGATTGAAAAAAAAATCACCTAGGTATTTAAATGTGATATTATGGTGATTTGTGTTTGTTTGTTTGTGATTGAAAACAAACAAACAAACATTAGCTTGTTTTTTTGTTACTTGTTTGTGGTTGTGTTTTATTTCTGGCTAGAGAGAGAGAGAGAGAGAGAGAGAGAGAGAGAGAGAGAGAGAGAGAGGAGAGAAAAGAGAGGAGGAGAGGAGAGAGAGAGAGAGAGAGAGAGAGAGGAGAGAGAGAGAAAAAAAAAAGAGAGAGAGAGAGAGAGAGAGAGGGAGAGAGAGGGGAGAGAGAGAGAGAGAGAGAGAGGAGAGAGATCCAATCACCAATCCTAACAAGTAACAGAGATTCGCCAATCATATTCACCAACAATTAAAATATAAATAGATCAGGATTGTTTCTTTTATCTCTTGATGGTGACGTAATGATGACGTATTGATGACGTAATGACGTAATCATGTAAACAATGACCCCTCCTTCAAGATGTTCCCATCCCCTTAAAATATAGCGCCAGTCAGTACAGTAGATTACCCCCCTCCTCCTTCCTTCCTCCCTCCTCCTTCCTTCCCTCCCTCTTTCTTCCCTCCCCTCCATCGTTTCCTCCTTCCTTCCTCCCCTCCCTCCTTCCTTCCTTCCCCTCCATCGTTTCCTCTTCTTCCTTCCTAACCTTCCTTTTTCTTCCCTCCTCCCTCCCTCCTTCCTTCCCCTCCATCGTTTCCTCCTTCCTTCCTTCCTCCCCTCCCTCCTTCCTTCCCCCTCCATCATTTCCTCCTTCCTTCCTTCCCCTCCATCGTTTCCTCCTTCCTTCCTCCCCTCCCTCCTCCTTCCTTCCTTCCTCCCCTCCCTCCTTCCTTCCTTCCCCTTCATCGTTTCCTCCTTCCTTCCTTCTAACCTTCCTTTTTTCTTCCCTCCTCCCTCCCTCCTTCCTTCCTCTCCATCGTTTCCTCCTTCCTTCCTTCCTCCTCCCTCCTTCCTTCCCCTCCATCATTCCTCCTTCCTTCCTTCCCCTCCATCGTTTCCTCCTTCCTTCCTCCCTCCTCCTTCCTTCCTTCTCCCTCCATCGTTTCCTCCTTCCTTCCTTTCTCCCCCTCCCTCCTTCCTTCCCCTCCATCGTTTCCTCCTTCCTTCCTTCCCCTCCATCGTTTCCTCTCCTTCCTTCCTTCCTTCCTCCTCCCTCCTTCCTTCCTTCCCCCTCCCATTTCTCTCTCCCCCTCCCCCACTTCTCTCCCCCCTCCCCACTTCTCTCCCCCTCCCCTCCCCAACTTCTCTCCACCTCCTCCACTTCTCTCCTCCTCCCCACTTCTCTCCCCCTCCACTTCTCTCCCCCCCTCCCCCCCTTCTCTCCCCCTCACTTCTCTCCCCTCCCCTCCCACTTCTCTCCCCCTCCCCTCCCCACTTCTCTCCAGCCAATGACCATCTCACTCTCACTCCTCGACAGCAACTTAAGGAACTGTAAAGGCTCCCCCTTCCCTCCGTCTCCCCAGGATCACCTCTAAACTCCCCAGGACTCCCCAACGGCCTAGGCTCCCCGGCCACACCCCCCAACAGCGGCTCTTCCTCCCCAGCAGCGGCCGCCTCCCACCACCACCACCAGCACCACCACCAACAACAACACCAACAACAACAGCACCAACTAGGTCAACAACAACAACAGCATCAACAACAACAACAACAACAACAACAACAGCAACAACAGCAGCAGCAGCAACAGCAGGGGCAGGTCAACTGTGGTATGGGTTCCATGGGCGTGGGTATGGGCGGAGGAGTGGGCGGGGAGGACGTGTGGAGAGGTTCCAGCATCGCCCAGCTCAGGAGGCGAGCTTTTGAGCACTCAGCGACCATGGCAGCGTTTAGGTAAGGAGTCCGTGGTCCGTGTTTTGGATTTCCGTGGCCAGTTAGGAGGTCCGTGGCAGTGTTTAAGGCGTCCCTGGCCAGTTAGGAGGTCCGTGACAGTGATTAAGACGTTCGTGGCCCGTGTTTAGGATGTCCGTGGCCAGTCAGGACGTCCGTGACAGTGTTTAAGGCGTCCCCGGCCAGTTAGAAGGTCCGTGGCCGTGTTTAAGACGTCCGTGGCCGTGCAAAGGTGTAAGGCGTCCTTGAGCAACGTGTACAGTCACCCACGCCCCCACGTACAGTCACCCACTCTCCAGTTGACACAAGGACATCTGGTGTCATATTTCGTGCCAAGTTGACAGTTCAAGGACGACTCCACATGACACAGGTTCTGAGTGACACACATGACACGTACACGTACACCCCCAGCTTATATCGCCTGTAGATTAACTAACCTAACGTATCACTAATCTAACTTAACCTAAACTAACATAAAACAACATTAATCTAACATTAACTGAACCTAACCTAACAAACCTAACATATCATTAACTAAAACTAACCTAACATTAATTTAACCTGTCATTAACTAAAACTAACCTAACATTAATCTAACCTATCATTAACTAAACCTAACCTAACCTAATCTTAATTAACCTAAACTAACATTAACCTAACCTATCAATAATTTAAACCAACCTAACTTAACCAAACTTAAACTAAACTAACAAAGTAAACTCTATTCTAACCAAACATTAACTAACACTAACCTAACCTAACCAAACATTAACCTAACCTAACCTAATCTGAATTAACCTAAACTAACATTAACCTAACCTATCAATAATTTAAACCAACCTAACTTAACCAAACTTAAACTAAACTAACAAAGTAAACTCTATTCTAACCAAACATTAACTAACACTAACCTAACCTAACCAAACATTAACCTAACCTAACCTAACCAAACATTAACCTAACCTAACCTAACCAAACACTAACCTAACCAAACACTAACCTAACCTAACCAAACATTAACCTAGCCTAACCTAACCAAACATTAACCTAACCTAACCTAACCAAACATTAACCTAACCTAACCAAACATTAACTAACACTAACCTAACCTAATCCCCCAGGTAACATGGCAGTATTTTAATCAACAGGTGAAAATAAACTGAGAGGGTGTCTAAACTTCAGGTGTTCGAGGTTATACAACTCACAATGGGTAACTAAAACATTAACTATCACAACGGATGGATTACCCCGCGTTCGTGACTATGAATCCGGATATATATATATACAAAGACGTCCGTGGACTTATGACTTACTTAAAAAAAAAAGGACATGAGACTACCTTTAAATGTCTGACTCAAGGCAAAAAATTAAAAATAAAATCCAATATGGCGGGAAATTTACACCATGACTGTATTAATTAAACGTTCACTCAACCCCAGATAGAATTATAGTACGGAATTATTACGGAATTAAAGTACGGAATTATTACGGAATTAAAGTACGGAATTATTACGGAATTAAAGTACGGAATTATTACGGAATTAAAGTACGGAATTATTAAATATATTAATTATCTTAAGTGAACGAATATCTGAGGAATTTATCGTTATTTAAGGTCATTTATTTTGTGTTTTTGTGGGTTATTTTTGTGTTTGATCCAGTAATTTAGATTTGTTTGTTTGTTACCTTGAGTCAGTTAATTAATTAGTCTGACCCGTGACTCTGATACACAACAACAATGGTCGCACTCACGAGACAGACAGACAGACAGAGACCAAAAACAAATAATAACTTTGTAATGCAACGATCAACACCCGCTGTATATATATAGTTAACTAATGTATTATATTTTGTATCAGTGTTAGCAAGACCACGTGGACGAGGACATACCCAAACCTTTACCGTCTTGTTCAGTTTTTATTTTTACATTAGTCTACGGTCACAAATTCCCCGTTTTCTTTGACTAGCTAAATGCCTGCTGTAACCATGGTAACCAGAAGCTGTGGCCCTCCCTCCCTCCCTCCCACTACCACCCAAACTTTGAGCAATGTTCTACGTGTTGACACAAGGGCTGTTCACCAGTACAGCAACAACTATAGTTTATTTGTAGCAGTAGTCTTTGCACATTTTTGTAATATACAGTTTTCCAAGATGTTGTGTGTGGAAATATATATATACAGTGTATATGTATGTGTGTCTGTGTGCACGGGCGTGTGTATGTTATGTATGTATGTATGTGTGTGTGTGTGGGTTGTAATAATAACGCAGCTTGGTGGCTTCATCCCCTTGAGTATACGATAATACAGTAGTAACTTTTAGCAAGAGACATTAAGACGTCTCGGGTAATATCGGAGACGCAGCCCGAGACTGTGTTGTTCCTACCAACAAATGGGAGAGCCCGTGAAGGTACATGGGCCCGCCGCATACCAGCTGAGATGTCTTAACCCCTCCCCTCCCTCAAAAAAAAAATAATGTTTATGTATTCGTTTGAAGCGGTGTTCTGTAGAGAGATTTAGAGAGCCATTCAACGTTCCAATTTTGAGTGTTAACTGCTGTTAGCTTCAGGTGTGTGTGTCTGTATGTAGCGTCTTATCCCCAGAAGTCATCGTAAATATAACTAAAAGACGAGATCTGAATCCATAAAGGTTCGTAAGATCAATATTTCTTGGTACTGAAGATGTAAAGGAGTTTATTTACTCTTATATTGAAGTCATAATTACACCCGAAAATACCTTCCCTTAACACCAGGTAGGAGACAAAGTTAACACTGAGACTCTACCTTAACTAGATACCTTCCCTTAACACCAGGTAAGAGACAAAGTTAACACTGAGACTCTACCTTAACTAGATACCTTCCCTTAACACCAGGTAGGAGACAAAGTTAACACTGAGACTCTACCTTAACTAGATACCTTCACTTAACACCAGGTAAGAGACAAAGTTAACACTGAGACTCTACCTTAACTAGATACCTTCACTTAACACCAGGTAAGAGACAAAGTTAACACTGAGACTCTACCTTAACTAGATACCTTCACTTAACACCAGGTAAGAGACAAAGTTAACACTGAGACTCTACCTTAACTAGATACCTTCACTTAACCACCAGGTAAGAGACAAAGTTAACACTGAGACTCTTACCTTAACTAGATACCTTCACTTAACACCAGGTAAGAGACAAAGTTAACACTGAGACTCTACCTTAACTAGATACCTTCACTTAACACCAGGTAAGAGACAAAGTTAACACTGAGACTCTACCTTAACTAGATACCTTCACTTAACACCAGGTAAGAGACAAAGTTAACACTGAGACTCTACCTTAACTAGATACCTTCCCTTAACACCAGGTAAGAGACAAAGTTAACACTGAGACTCTACCTTAACTAGATACCTTCACTTAACACCAGGTAAGAGACAAAATTAACTTTAACTAGATACCTAATCTTCATTTGAAATAAACTTTGCATTTAAATTAAACATAAATAGATAAATAAATAAATAAATTCACAATATCATATTAAAAAATTACCTGTGTTCCAGTTAATCGTCACCTGAAAAGAAAACATTGGCATTTGTCTTGTACTGAAACTAAACATCATTGCATAAGAAAAAAAAAGCACACATACATCTATATTGTATTAAAATAAATTAACCTTACCTCCACCTGAAACAAATCACTACAGTAACTAATGAAAAAATATCAAAGTTTTAGTTAAATTAACACAAAAACATAAACATTGTAAGGCAAGGTTCCCTAAACGTAATCTAACCACATAACCTAATTCAGTGTGACTAGACTTGGCTCAGGGTACTGGTGAGTCAGCATTATTAGTAAGATATCCACAACAACAACATCTACACAAAAGTCATCCAAATGTTGTATAATGTTGTATTAATGTATTCTCAGTCCCTATAGAGGTATTTTATAACTATATATGTATTAAAAGTGCTCTCTATTAGCTTATTTTAATCTGTAAACGAGCCATCTTGTGTACTTACGAGCGACTGGAGTCTTATCTGTGGAAACAAACATGAGTGTTAGATACAAGTAATTATGTAGAGCATTAAGTCACTACAGCTATGATGAAACTAATAATAAAAGAATCATATATAAGTCACTGAGAAATTTAATATCAGACCTAACATTAAGTTATGGTTAATGATGTTAATTACTTAAAGCCTGTTATCAATTATTAATTAAAAACCTCCAGCCTGATAATGTTACTCTGAACCTGAATACATATAAAAAAATGCTTAGTAAAAGTCTCAGTGTTAATTTTGTCTCCTAACAGATGCATTGAAGGTATCTAGTTAAGGTAAAGTCTCAGTGTTAATTTTGTCTTTAAACTCCCAAGCGAAGGTATCTAGTTAAAGTAGATTCTCAGCGCGATCTCCCATCTAAACATACCCCACCCCAAAACATAGCCAATTCCTTCCAACTCAAAGCAACAAAATCCACCCCTATACCTCTTCCCACCCGGAGGTCAAACACTATCTTACGAACCTTTACGCCTACGGATGAAAACTGCGCCAAGACGTACGCATATCAATAAAAACTAGCCGTGTTAGGGCCTATTCTTGTAGTTGTAACTTAGAGATCGATACCATCTGGCCACTTGTGATAGATAACACGACAATTATAAATGTTTGTATTCTAGACGTTGTCGGTATACTGTGAGAGCCTTGTAAATAAACCAACAGTCAGTATGTAAAATGTGTCTTTCTTTATCCTATTCTAGCCTAAGGGTTATTATTATTATTGTATTATCATTATTATTACTCTATTATTACTATTATTATTATTATTATTATTACTCTATTATTACTATTATTATCATTTTTATTATTACTATTATTATTATTACTATACAAACAATATCCCTCAACATACTTATACTGATATACAAATAAATGTATCACCAATTCGCTATAAAAATAATAACATAACGAACGTAACGAACAAACCAGAACGATATAAACCATTCCATAACGTTCAAATGTTACGTCATTACTACGCTATAACTACTAAGGTCTTTAAGAGCGTAATAAGGGCACTAATTACACTCTAGTTCATTAATTCTTATCATTACATTAATAACTGTAGTAATATATAAAGTGTTTGCCTTCACATTAACATAAGTAAACAATAAACATCTATTAATTATCACCGTCTTTTCTGTGACGTCATCTTTCACTAACTATTTTTCTTATATATTTTTAATGAATAATAAAACGAAATTATCACATAATAATAATAATAATAATAATAATTGCAACATCTTATCACCTTTTATTTAACGTTTGATAATTAAATTCTCACTTAATATTTTCAGTTTTTACGATAGGCATCAATGTTAACTTATGCTACAATATTATCTCTATATTTTCTCACAATATTAAGAAGATAAAGTTAGAGTAACGTTAATAAATAATAAAAAAAATATATTAAATACAATAATTTATCGTTAATTTTCTATATTA